CCTTTCCAGAAGGCATGTATCTTCTCCCTACCCACCTTGGGAGCTTCTAGTGTGACCTTTCTTTCCCCTTCCTAGGAGAGGAAAGCAGTGAGCTTCCTTCTTGGTTCTCTACTGTATCACATCTGTTGAATCGAGTAGTCAGGGCAGACACATTATACCAGACTTCTAGAAACTAGATCAGAATTGACTCAAAGGCAATGGGTACAAAGGTAAATCTTGCTATGTACTGTATCCCAAATCCAAATGGAAACGATTTCTTGATTCTTCCATTAGACAGGGAAGATGGTGATTGTGGAAAGAGCCCTGTGAAGAAGCAAGGGTTCCAGTTTTGCTATTTTACTTTTTGGATCTCAGCACGTGATCTACAAAATGAAGGTGATGAATTGGATTACGTAATTTCTAAAATCCCTTCTGGTTCCACGGTTGGACATTTGTGGGATAAAAATCATCTCGTGGCAGTTTGTGGTAGCTGGTTTTCCCTTCATTAACCCTGGGATTGTTTTGGCTAAAAAACATGGCAACACTTTGATGCAACTATAGACCGGCAAGTGAGTTAGCCTCCTGAAGGTCCAGATTAGAGAATAAACAGCTATTCAGAACCTCAAAAAACAATAACTCTGACAATAAGGGAACAAGCCAGCTTCTTTAGGAATCAGCAAACATTAGCAAGGGCTGCAGCATTAAGATAAGAACAGAGTAACGAGAAAACGAGTTCCAACCAGCTTCCCTGAATGCGTTCCAGCGGTCACTCAGTGAATTTGTCACGTCCTTAACAGGGCTTGATAAATGGACTCCAAGTGTTGAGATTTTTTTTTCCCCTTTAGAAGTTACTTGGAAACCTGGCTTAGGGAAAGGCTTCTACTTTGAGAAAAATAACGCAAAATCCTGCAAGTGTCTGGGACAGGAAGTAAAAATGTTAAAAGGATATCAACATTCCACAAATCCCAAATTAAGGAACATCAATCCAGAAAAAGATGGAAAATCATGATAGTTAAGTCAAATATGAGAGCCCCAAAACATGGAAAATAAATAGGGCACAAAGCAAATGAGTCTGTAGATGTTGACATTTATAAAACAATCCAACAAAAGAGTTGATTTTTGTAATCTACTTCAGGTGAAATAAAACACACACATATAAATATCTAATGTATTTATAAAACTTTGAAAAATTAAAAAAAAACCTGGTAATAACAATAGCTTCCAAGTACATTTGTGTTCCATACTTCAGGCACTCTATTAAATGCCTTATATAAATTATTGCTAATCTTCACAATAATGCTGCAACATATTAATTATTATTTCCATTTTACATATGAAGAAAACAGGCTCAGAGAGGTAAATACTTTGTCTGATGACACACAGCTAGTTAGTGGCAGAGCTGAGATTTTAGTTTTTTAGATACATTTTTTAAATTAATTAAAATATGTATTTATCAAAGGAACACACGCACATAGTTACCACATGAAATAGTACTAAAAGGCATATAATGGAACATAGCAGTGTTTTCCATCTTGCAGCCTTTTTGTCCTTTGACTCTATTTCCCAGTGCTTTCATTGGATTTTTTATCTTGGAACTCATGTTTTTAATTTCCAAGAACTCTTTCTTCTTCTCTGGTTGCACCTATTATTATTTTTTTAAGCATCCTGTTTCTGTTTCATGGATACAATATCTTAGCTCTTTGAGGGTATTAACAATCTTTTTTTCTCCTCTCCTTCTTTCCTCAGAATTTGGTTTTTGTTCATGTTTTTTGTTTGTTTTGGCCTCTGTCTTTCATATTGGAGATGAAAATGTTCTATGATTCTTGGTTGTCCGTTTGTGTCTAACAATAAGGCATTAAAAAGCTGAGTGGGAATTGTGTGGTGGTGGTGGGGTGTACGGTTGCTAGATAACATACAGGAAGTCCAGTTAAATTTCAATTTTAGATGAATAACAAATACTTTTTTTAGTATAGGTATGCCCCAAATATTGCATGGGATATACTTACACTAAAAAATTATCTATTGCTTATCTGAAATTCAAATTTAACTGAGCCCTCTGTATTTCTGTTTGCTAAATCTGACAACCCTAGGTGTGTGTAACTTGTAGACTCCCAGCTTCTCAGTGACTGGGCTAAGGGCCGTGGTTTTGCAGTCCACAGACTCATTCCCTTTCACTTATTTCCCTCTTCTGAGCTCTGCATGGCATTCCTTCCCTATAGTTTTCCTCATTCTAGGACCTTTATTTCATTTCTCCAGAGAATAAACCACTGGCCTTCTTCTGGGGTAGAGAAAAGGGGAGCTGCCTGACTATGCTTGTGGAGGACTTCGTGGGTTCTAACTGCTCTGTAAATTGACTTTCTAGTAATCTCCTTGTCTTCAGCTTGGAGTGTCACCTCCACTTTTCATGGTAACTTTTATCTCAAAGACCCAAGCAAGGTTCTTCAGGGCAAACTGGCTTGCTTCTCAGAGTTGTGCTCTGTAGGCCTTTGCTTTCCACTCCTACTCTGCTAGCTTAGTTAGTGTTCATTGGTCTGCCTTCCCTTTCCCATAAATGTATTGACATCTCTCTGTAGTTGCTTGTTCTCTCATTCTTTCTCCTTGCAGATTTATACCTTTTTTTTTCTTTCAAATTCATTTAGTGTCATTTTAATGGAGTTTCAGGAGGGAGAGGATATAGACATTTGGCCCAATCTACCAGGTTTAACCAGAAGGCCAGAATGAGATTTAAATCCTGGCGAATATAACTCCAAAGTCTTTACTTCTTCCACTATACTATGTAGTAACCCATTCAGTGGAATTCAACAATAAATACCTGTGGCATAGACTGCCAGCTGTCTACCCAATAGCCCTCTTCCATTTCTTCCTTAGTAACAGAATCTCTGGTTTTCAGCGGGGCGCATGGCTACTCAGAATAAAGAATTCCTTTCCCAATCTTCCTTGAAACTAGGTATGGCCAAGTGACTAAATTCCAGCCAATTAAATGTAAGTGTTATATGGCAGCTTCCAGCATACTCTTAAAATAAAGCTTGCATCACCCTTTGGCCATTTTCTTCTTTGTCTCTTTCTTCTTCCAGCTGTCTGGAATGTGAACATTATGGCTAGAGCTTGAGCAGTTGTCTTGGACTACGAGGTGAAAGCCATGTGTCAAAGGTGGCAGCACAACAAGAGAGAAGAAGCCTGAGTCCCTGACCACTTAACAAAGCCATTCTAACAACCCCAGATTGCTTATCTCCGGACTCCTGTTATGTGACAGACCAGTAAGTCATTGTTACTTGGACTTTCTGTTGCATACGATGGAACCTAATTCTAACTGATATGGTGCCAAAGTGCAATAAGACTTCAGAGGGTGACACTAATCTTCATAGAAAAGATGGGAGAAGAGCCAAACCTTAAAGGATGGTGAATTCAGCCAGATGAGAGTAGGGGGGACATATTCCATGTAGGAATAGTGGTATGACTGGGGACACATGGGCAAGACTGTGTACAGTGTTTTCAAAGAGTTACGTGTAGACCAGCTGATTAAACAAATCACATAGGAGAGAAGAGTGAAGAAAAGGTTTGGGACAGATTATGGAGGGCCTTGACAGCCAAACCAGGTTCAGAGCTTGCTTTGTTAACAATGCGGCCATGGAGGGGTTTTGAGATGGAAGTTGGAGAGACAGGTCTAGGATGGGAGGGAAGGTTAGTGTGGAGAATTTGAGAGTCTTCTATACAGAGGTAATTGGTGAGGTCAGGGGTGGGAGTGAATGGAATCTAAGTAGAGAAAGGAGAACATGGGTCCAAGGACTCATATCTGGGAGCAAGAGGAAAAGAAACCTACAAAGCATCCAGAAAAGGAGAGAGGAAGGTAGCTGGATATTATGGAAGCAAATAGAGTAGAAACTGGCCATGAGAAATCAGTCAATATCTCAAAGAAGCTAGAACATACCAGAAATTAGTAAAAGACATTGAATTTGGGAACAAGGAAGTCTCTGGTGACTATGAGAGCCCAATTTTGGTAGACCATAGATAGAGATGGATGCTTCTCTTCAAGGTGTAAACGAGTGTTAGGAAAATAGAGGTATTAATGTGCTCTATTTATCAAAAGGAGTCCCTGGGTTGTTCAAACAGTTCATGTACTCAGCTGCTTAACCAAAAGGTTGGAGGTTCGAATCCACCCAAACGAGCCTCAGAAGAAAGGCTTGGAGACTTACTTCTGAAAAATCAGCCATTGAAAACCCTGTGGAGCACAGTTCAACTCTGACACACATGGGGTCACCATGAGTCCAAATTAACTCAATGGTAACTGGTTTTTGGTTTTATTTATCAAACAAGGAAGGTATTTTATTTATCAACAAAAGAAAGGTAAACTGAAAAGCCGTTAAAGATCTCCATAGAGTCAAGTGAAAGAATTTTTCAGGAAGGGAGGATGTTTGGTTTGTAAGAAAGCAGAGAACTGTGCATATCAGTGGAAAAAGAGATTGCCAGGCTGCTAAAGTAGATGGTGCCTGGCAAAGCAGGTCCAAAAGAGAATGGGAATGATGGGATTTCCAGCTCAGATGGGTACCTGAATGGTGGGAAAAAAGGGAATAGCTATTCTGAGAAAGAGAGGAGAGGCAAGGAATGAAGGCTTGGGTATCTAGTCAACCTCCCAGAAACAAATATTTTTCATCATCATCATCATTAGGGCCATTACAGATCTGACCAGAAATAACAACTGAAATTAGAAATCTTAGCCAGTCCCTAAAATGGCCATCACTTAAGTTTCAGAGTCAAGAGTCCCAAACAAAGCTCCTAGAACAGAAGAAAGCTATAAATCTGACGATCGGAGCGTTGCTTCTCTTGGCTTACAGATACAGCCCGAAAGTGAGAATGAGTTCATTTAGATGAGGGAAAAACAACAACAACCATGAAGTTTAGCTCATTTACACATTGATATCAATGCCAGAATAGCAGGCAACTCCCAATACAAACCTGAAAATTAATTACAGGATGGAACTTCAGATACCCGTTTGTCAAATAGCTCAAATGCCAATACCTACTCAAAGTACAGCGTGAGGTCTGTTGCCAATATTGACTGCTTCAGAAGCTGCATAAGGTCACTATATTCCTTGGAGGACAAATTAGCAAAGATGTTGTGACCCTGTAATGAGAAAGTAAAGTCACAAAAGAGAACATTAAATCTGTGGTTGTTGATTACATTTTTTTTCCTGTATTAAAAAAGCGGGGGCTGGGGATATGATAAAAACTCATTTAATGAAATCTTGTGAAAATACAAACAGATTCTCTGGCAAACAGCAAAGCTAGAGAGTGCAATCATTTTTTGGGGGAATACCAAGGGACACTCCATCCTGTCTTGAAGGGAAAACTCTGGAAATGGTTGAACTTGTCTTACTGTGGAAATGTTTATGCCAACAACTCTAGCTGATCGTCCATTTCCCATGGAATTACTGAGTAGAGAAGTTGGCAAAACATTTGGAAATCTTCCTGACCCTAATATAAATACTGATTTTACTAGTAAAAATCTAAGCTGACATTTTGGAAACACTTGCTAAGGGAACAAGTGACTTCAAGGAGGAGAAAAAACAGCCCATTAGACCAGTGCTTCTCAACAGGGGGTGATTTTGCCCCTCAAGGGACAGTTAGCAACATTGGGAGATTTTTGGCTGTCACATTTGGGAGGAAGGTGCTATGGTATCCTGTAGATAGGAATACTGTAAACATACTACAATGCACAGGGCAGCCCCCCACAACAAAAAATTATTTGGCCCAAAACATCCATAGTGCTGAAGCTGAGAAACCTTGCGTTAAACTGTTAAGATACACCTTAACGTATGATACATTAAATTCAGTATAAAAACTTGTTGCCATCTAGTTGCTTGTGACTCATAGCAACCCCATAGGACAGAGTAGAACCGCCCCATAGGGTTTCCAAGGAACAGCTGGTAGATTCAAACTGCCAACCTTTTGGTCAACAGCCGAGCTCTTAACCATTGCACCACCAGGGCTCCATATAAATTCAGTATAGGGAATACTTATGGAATGGTTAAGATGTATAAGGCATTGTTCTTGGCACCTAAACCCACTACCCTCGAGTCGATTCTGACTCATAGCGACCCCATAGGGTTTCCAAGGCTGTAAATCTTTATGGAAGTAGACTGCCACATCTTCCTCCCAAGCAGCCGCTTGTAGTTTCGAACCACCGACCCTTCAGTTAGCAGTTGAGCGCTTTAGTTCTTGGCACAGTGGATGCTAATTTACCTAGGAAAACTTGCAGACTCACCTATAGCTCTACACCTTTGAAAAGTACACTTCCGTTCATCAAGTTTGTTTTAACTGTACGAGGCAGCTCCACAATTTGTTCTTAATAAAGTGAAAAATCCCTCCGTAAAGTCACCAACAATTCACTGAATTTGCTTTGAAAGTTAGGACTTTTCATTTATTGGGTTTATTTAGTATGAAATACAAACTCATAAACACGTGGCCCAGGTTCTGGACCAGTTTTAAACCTTATGTTAAGAGCCAGACGATGGTGGAGAAGGGAGGGAACAGCATACCTGTCTGAGAAGAAACTATTCTCCAACGAGAGGTGAATTAATTCTTTCAGAGAACCAGAATATCAGTTAGTAAATGAGCTCTTGCCGGGTACCACATGATAATCTGCTCCCCTGAGTTAATTTATCTCTGGGTGAGCCTGCCACGCCTTATAGAATATATTGGTTCCACCTGGGACCAGGTCCAATATTAATAATAATTTTCAAATGGATTCTTCCAGACCATTCTGCCATTAGGAAGAAGACAAATAACTAAAGGAATACATCACCATAATTCTGGCCAGGTTTCTCTGCCTGAGCCTTGCTGCACGGATCAATCACAGGCCCTTGTTCTGGGGCCCAGGAGAAAGTGGCCAGAAGCCATGGGAAAGTAGTCCCCCGGATCCAGCTCCATGCCCAGCTTCTCCCAGTGAAAGAAACAGAGCCTTTGGGAAAAAGTTACAGTACAAAGTAACGAGGACTAAGAAGAAAAGTTTGTCTGAATTTGAGCATTCTGATTATTTTGTGAAGAAGCGCATTTTACTACTTTTAAAGGACATATATAAGGAGCCCTAGTGATGCAACAGCTAAGCGCTCAGCTCCTAACTGAAAACTTGGCGGTTGGAACCCATCTAGCAGCTTGGTAAGAAAAAGACCTGGCGATTTGCTCCTGTAAAGCGTCAAACCAAAACCAAACCCATTGCCTTCAAGTTGATTCCAACTCATAGAGACCCTATAGGATAAAGTAGAACTGTCCCATAGGTTTCCAACGCTGTAATCTTTACAGAAGCAGACTGCCACATCTTTCTCCCACAGAGCAGCTAGTGGGTTTGAACAGCCAACCTTTTCATTTAGCAGCTGAGTGCTTTAACCATGTGCCACCAGGGCTCCTGCAATAAACGTTACAGCCTAGAAAACCCTATGGGGCAGTTCTACTTTGTCACATGGGTTCGCTTGGAGTCGAAATCTACTCCAGGGCACCTAACAACAACAACAACGACAACAACGCTATATAGCAATTAACACAATTTACAGCTAATCGAGTGACAAAGCTAGCCAGACTGGTGGCAAAAAACAAAAAAAGTTAATTTGTAATCAGAGTATTGCTTATGTGTAAATGGACCTTATACAGTGCCTCAAGGGTTTGTTCCCTGAAGCAGATTTAAGTCTCCCTCAGATGCTGTTTCGACTCTTTGTTTAGGGAGGCAGTGATGTGGTATTGGTGGGAAGAAAGCCACATGTGGAGGCAGAGGGTCTGGGGCAACCAACTGGCTGTGTGACCTTCAATAAGCCATTTAACCTCTCTGAGCCTCGGTCCTCTCATTTGGAAAGTGGGATGAAAATAATACCTCACTTGCCTTTCTGCCTTTCTGATGAGCTGGGCAGGAGGGGATGAGGGTGAGGCTCCACGTGGCTGGCACACACCAGCCGCTCAGTGGGTAGCTCTGTAATTATTGTTCTCCATTCTTCATAGAGAACCCCAACATGAAGGGCAGTCAATGTGTTTTATTTGTATGAACACAAATTCTGAGTTAGTGGGGTTTGAACTAATAAAGTTTTACCCCAGAAAAGTCCCCAAGGACACAAACAGATGACCTTCAGAGGAAACCTTATAATGCTTGCTATTACAAAGGTGGGGTTTTTGGGGGTGGAGGTGCACACCCATCACATTTACCTATATGGAAAGGACATCTGAACTGCAGCTCCTTGGATCCCTACTTCCCTCTTTGACAGCACTCAGCTAAAACATGACTTTGGGTGGAAAATTCCGGAGTCACAGATGCCAGGATGCTGATTTCTGTCAGTTACTGAGAACCTAAACCTTGGGGTTCTATTCCTATCTGAAAATGCATCACCCCAGCGGGTGTGCCGTTCCCTGGTCTGCACTCAGGTTCCCAGTGCCGACTACCCTTTATGGGGTCAAGGGCTTTCATGATATTGCAAAAGACATGCTTTCCCAAGATAGGCTGGAGGAAAAAACCTTCCATATTTAATGATGCTATTCCAGCAAAGCCGGGACTAAATGATGATAATAATAATAATTAATGGCACAGCTAGAGAACTGACAAATAATGAGAAACAGATGATCCCTTCCCGGCCTCAAAAAAAAAAAAAAGTCTGTACGCCTGCAGAAAATTAAGCAGTTCCTTTCCTGAAGATTTTAAACTCAGAAGCCTCAGCCAGAGTCAGACAGTGGTTTCTGTTTTTCTCTGTGGAGAGCTAAAAGTATAAAATCCTAACTACTTCCAACTCCTGCATTGCCACATGAAGAAAAATGAGGCAAATGGCATTAACCCTGGGTCTTAAATTTAGTTGTGGTTGTCACTTTCAAACTGGTTCCACCAGCAACTTTAAGTTCTTTTTATCCTTTATAGGTTTCTTCATTGTGCTAATATAAAGTATATTTTTCTCATCCTGTTCCTGCTTCTACCATCTTTTAAAATGACTTTGGGTTACACTTGCCACTTGGACCAAGTCACTTCCTCCGTGGGCTTCTGTACCACTTCAGGAGGGTAAGGTCATGCTCTAGTGACAAGCTATGGGCCGTCTACCCTGTTACGTGAATCTGAAAGCCCCCTAAGCAATAATGAAATGCAAATGAATCAACTCAGAAAGAAATTGAACGAGATCCTTGGTCAGGCTTCTGAAAGAATAAAAAAGCCACCAAGGAAAAGCTCAATAGTCTGGCTGAAAGCAAGGTGCCTCACTGCTCTGTAGCTACCTGTGACACTACAAAGAAAGAGAAGAAGAAAACTAAGCGTTTTATTGGTTTTCTGTCAGGGGAGAAGCAGAACATTAGTCTGTACCTCACTTTGAAGGATCATCACTGCGTGGTTAAAATGGTGATGCTCTAGGGTAGCAGAGGTTCCATAGAGCTGGGCCAGGGCAGAGCCGCTCCTGAAAGAGACCAGAAGGTGAGCGACCAGGGCCCTTCACCTACCACCCATTCCCGCCCACCAGCTCTTTGGATCAACCTGCTTTTCCTGCTTTTGGCAAAGGACCATGAACAGACACATTCTAAGCTAGTTGCTTATGTAGTTCACCCATCCATTAAATCAACCTTTTTGGGAACCTTCTGTGTGTCAGGCTAGATGCTGCAAATGATGTAATGAAGAGTAAGACACAGTTCCTGCCGCTAAGAAAGCCAAGACTAGTAAGGAAAATAAGACATAATCATAAGGAAAAATCATGCACATACGACACAATACAAATACTAATGCCCTAGAGAAAGTGCTTTAGATCTAATCAAAGCGTTGTGCATTTTCCAAGGAAAACAAAATTCTGGCTCAGGGGATCATGAAGTAGGTAACCCCTCTGAGGGTTGAGATGGGGTGTGAGGATATGGTAGAACGGGCAGGAACATCCTGAAAGGAAATGAGAGGAGGCATGCCCAGAATGACAGCCGAGTTGTTCGGCTGGAAGGATGGATATGGGATGGAAAACTTTCTGAAAAGGCTAGAAAGGCATTTGCTTTCAGGGGCAAAGTCTTTGGATGTTATTCAGTATGTAATGAGGGGCCTGAAGATTTTTGAATGGGGAAGGGGTTCTATAATATGAACTGTGCACCAGGGGCTGCAGGGTGGATGAGGAGGGAGAAACAAAGCAAACTTGCTACAAGGCAGCAACAGCAGTCAGAGCACATTAATTACCATGGGCTGGGGGAGAGGGAACAGAGCCTGAATGGAGGAGTCCCTGGGTGGTGTAAACGGTTAAACTGCTCAGCTGCTAAACAAAAGGTTGGAGGTTTGAGTTCACCCAGAGGTGCCTTGGAAGAAAGGGCTGGTGATCTATTTCTGAAAAATCAGCCATTGAAAACCCTATGGAGCATAGTTCTACTCTGACACACATAGGGTAGCCATGAGTCGGAATTGACTTGATGACAACCGGGTTTTTTGATAAAAGAAATGGAACGGGAGGAGACAGAGTCAACATAACTTAGCTTTTGATGGTATGTAGTTGTCAAGGAGCCAGAAGAGTCCAAGCTGCCCTAAGACAGTTTCCCAACATTTCTTGCAGATACTATTAATAGGGGTTATTAAAAAAAATAGGATTCTAATATAAAGTATAATCTTATAAAGTATGTACACGACTTCTCAGAATCTTTAACGTAAACTTATATGCGTTAACAGCATGATAGACTAACCAGAACAACTTTTTTGGCCACAGAAGGAGTACCTCATGGACTAGTGTTTTAGAAAACATGCCTGGGGAAGTACTGCTCTGGTTTTGGGGTCTGGCTGACCAGTAAGAAGCTGGAGCAGGAGTAAGTGCAGAAGAAAAACAATTGGTTTGATTTAGTATTGTGACTTCAACATATATAAGCAGAATTACACTCTGGTAACGGAGAATGGAGGAAAGGGCATAGGCTCGGAAACAATGCAGATTGGCTATGATAGTTGCTGCAAAGGAAGTAATACTAAAATTGTGCAAACTGTGACCAGGAGGGCAGATGCTCTCCCTGCAAATTTGATGCTGTCAACCCAGTTCGCAAATCACAAATGATGCATTAATACTGAAAAGGAAATACGTCAGTGCCATGGGACTCTTCCAATGGCAGTTTTTGCTACGTGTAACAGGTCTTTGGAGTTCCTGGGTGGTGCAAATGGTTAAGGCGCCCAGCTGCTAACAGAAAGACTGAAAGTTCAAACCCACCCAGAGGAAAGGCCTGGTGATCTACTTCTGAAAAATCAGCCTTTGAAAATCCTATAGAGCACAGTTGTACTCTGACCACATGGGATTGCCATGAGTCGGAACTGACTTGCAGGCAACTGGTTCTTTTACAATGGGTCTTTAAAGAAGCCACTTGAACCCTAATGTGCTCTGTCTCTTAGCTTTTAGAAAAGCTTGCATGTCCCCTTTAAAAACAGTGGTTTGTATCAGCAATCTCTGTTGGCTGTCAGACTGTAAAACTGCTGGAAAGCTGGGCAAGTTAGTGAGGAAAGTATAGTTACCGTCCAGTAGATCTTTAGATAGGGCTTTACGGTTTCCCAGCATCCAGAACAATGTCTTATACCCAATGTATTTGACATTTGACTCTCCATGGGAAAAGACTTTGTGAATATTATTCACAGCACATTTTATCTACTTTACATACACGTTATACAAATTTCTAATATGGTTTCCCAGCTCACAGTCACACTATGATAGCTCAGTGTGGAATTCTAGAAAGATCCCTGCATGTGGAGTCAGACCTCAGCTCTTCCTTTACTTGGTGGTTTCATTTAGTTCCTTGGCCTTTTTAATATCCTGTTTCTTTGTTTCTAAAATTAGGCTAATATATCTACCTCACCTGTTTGTTATTAGAATAAAATAAAATATCTGAAAGTGCCTATCACAGTGCTGGAGCCCTGGTGGCACAGTGGTTAAGAGCTTGGCTGCTAACCAAAAGGTTGGCAGTTTGAACCTACCAGCTGCTCCCTGGAAACCCTGTGGGGCAGTTCTACTCTGTCCTATAGCGTTGCTATGAGTCGGAATCGACTTGACGACACTGGGTTTGGTTTGGTTTATCACAGTGCCTGGTATGTAGTAGATTGCAGTCAATATTAAGTATTAATTAATACCCATACCGATATTTCCATCTTAAATCAATAAGATGTTAATTGATACTTGCAGGGATGACTTTCAGCTATCTATAAATTTCACTTACATAGCAAAACCCATTCCTCAACAATGTCACTTCTGCAATGTTTATTTAAAATGTTGAAATACATTTATTTTCTAACTAGGAATTAGAGCATCTTAAGAGTGAAGAGAGATCCTAGACAAGCCCACCATTTAAAAGGGCAGTCATGGGACTTGGGCTGAGGCCACATCCAGGTCCTTGTGTTCTTTCTTGCTTATTGCAGGGCCCTTAGAAATTGAAAGGCAAATTTGGCCTTAACTCGGAAGGCCTGGAAAGAGAGAGCTCACAGTCTGTCCTGCTAGTGAGAGGAGCAAAGACTGCATCTAAGTACAATGTGAAGGATTTTGGTCACAAGCTGCCCTCCATCTCCAGTGCAAAGCAGCCCAAGATCACAGTCAATTCAGGGGCTCAGGGGCCTGCAACCCTTACAAAGAGTAAGAGCTGGCCCATGTTGGGAGAAACAGGAAGGTTAGGTTTAGCAGGGATTACCGTGAATAAAGATTAGTAAGGAAGGTACTAGATTTTAATAAGGTATGTGTTATTTAAGTCTTGCCTTATTCTATATCATATAAGTAAAAATTTGTTTGGATAACCATAGGTATTAGTGATTACTTAATATTAATATTAGTGATTTTTCCTATGCTGGAGTTCTTTTTTGTGAAAATACATGTCTAAAAATATGTAGTATATATTTTACCTTGGCTATTCTAGGAGTTTAATGTGCACATCACACCACAGTGCCTTGCATGGACTGGGTGCTTAAAAAATATTACACCTACTCCTTACTAATCCACATGGTCAGGTTCCAAAGACTAGGTTGTTATATGAAAATCAGCATTGTGTGAAAATGGAGGATGATGACATCAGATCACAAAATGGAGGATGACTACATCATTACATAACTGCCAAATTATATCATTACATAACTGTCAAACCACTGAGAATCATGGCCCAACCAAATTGACACACAACCCTAACCATTACAGCTAGTTTTACTCTCGTCTCACACCTTGGCATTCATTATTGCCAGACATACATCATTAATGCACAAAATAGTCAGAAAGTAGATTTTTTTACTATTGTCATTAATGTAAAATGTTGGATAATGAGTAGTTGGTAAGTGAGGAGTAGGTGTAGTTGCTTGGCTAATAAGCTTTCAGTTGTATGATTAGAAATTGTAGTTTAAATTGGCAGGGTGACAAAAATAAGTGTCAATATTTTTTATAATAATGTTATTAATCATAATAATAGCTACCATTAGTAAGTGCCTACCATGCACTTTACATCCTTATTTTTCTTAATCCTGACAACAGTGAAATAGGTGTTATTTTCCGATTTTACAGATGAGAAAACCAATCCTCAGAGATACTATGTAACTTTTCCAAGGTCATACAGCTAGTAAGTACCAGATCTAGATTTGAATCCAACTTTTTAAGGTTCTTTTCACTATATTATGTTGTCTTTTCATTATATAATGAGAGTGATCATTATAACTGCAGTGCAATGAATTACTTAATATGGCCCTTCTAGCCATGGTCTTTGTGATTCACACACAACGACTGAGTAGGACTAAGAAAATAAGGTATATGGAACCTGTGATGGTGTTATGTGTTAACCTGGCTAGGCCATGATTCCCAGTATTGTGTGGTTGTCCTCCATTTTATGTGTTGTGGATCCCGACCTCTACATGTTGATGAGGCAGGATTGGTATAAGGTGTGTCTTGGGTCACAGCCTTGCAGGATGGCATAAGTCAAGCCCCACCCTTACTAAAGTTATGCCCTTCCCTGGGGTGTGGCCTGAAGCTAAGATATAGGTGTGTATCCTGGTGAAGCTCTCTCTCTCTCTCTGCATCTGGATCCTGCATCCAGTTCGTGATCAACTGACTACCCCAGAGGCCTGCTGTCTGATCTGCTGATTCTGGGATTCACTGGCCTCCACAGACCCTTGGGCCAGCTGCCTATCGTGTGACCTGATTTGCCACTTCTGAGCCTCGTGAGCCAGCAGCCTGTGGTCTGACCTGCTGGTTTGGGTTTGTCAGCTCCTGCAGCTGCGTGGGTTGGGAGAAGCCTATGCCTGACCCGTGAATTTGAGACTTGCCAGCCTCCACAACCTTATGAGCCATTTCCTTTATATGATTTGTGAGTTCTGTGAGACGTTGCAGCAAATTTGGGAACCCAAAGACAGAAGGGAGAGTACTGAGTGGAGAGGGAGTAGTTGATGCTAGAGATGATACAGTGGTACAGTAGCTTGGAAAGGTTGAACATTTAGGACGTC